ATGACTCCTTAATCCACCTCCAATCCCTGCATTAAGGGAAACATCCGCTTTGCTGCACATGCAGTATTGAATTAGAAATCCACCCTGCTGCCACGCCTTCCCAGCCTGACCTATCATGCTTCTTTTCTAAGTACTATTCGATGCTGTTCAGTCTCACCTGAACTAAATGTTTCGGTATTTAAGAGCTTTTTGTCAAAACATTTCTTACAAGCTTGTGTATTCTGGGGAACAAACTAAAGTTTTTTGGTGACTTTAGTGGCTGATGAGATGTGATGATCCAATGAAATGCTAGGTAGCTTGTCTTTTAACAATAACATGGTGCCAGCTGAACATTTGGACTGTTGAATTGTTAAATTGTTGATTTAAATGATCATTTCCTCAGACTGCAGTTGTGACAGTTGTGTTACACCTAATAGAAGATAGAACACTGTTGAAAATCTGAAATTAATACCTTTTTTTTTTTTTTGGTAGCTTGAGATGTGTCACTGTTGGTGGTCTTCCTATGAGGTCAACTCTCCTAGGGTTTGCGGTGCACTGATGTGCAAATTGATGTAGTTGAAACACTATTGTTGTCTTTTCTTGTGTTTTTATCTCATTTTTTGACGTGCACTATTATCCAGATATTGTCTTGTTTTTCTACAAAAGCTGACTTTGGTAGAGATTTTAAAAGCATTTTTTAAGGATCACACCTATTGTCACTACCTAAAGAGTTATCCAGGCTCCAGGAATATAGAAATTGTGACTGTGGTAGGATTGTGTAATATACAAAGGCACAAAGTTTTGGGTTTTTTACTTTAAATTTCTCTACTTTATTCCAGATTTCCACAAATCCTACAAAAATTGCCACTAGCAACTCTACTTGTGATAGATAAAGTGAATTTATATACAAATGAAAATATATATATGCGTGTGTGTGTAGGTGTATATATTTGTGTGTGTGTGTTATAAATTATTGGCAGCAATCAGCAGTATGGCAGCAACCAAGTAGATGTACACTAAGGGTGTGTGTAGGCATAAATTAATAGTTGGACTAGATCTTAAAAGTCTCTTCCAACCTAAATGATTCTATGAATCTGTCAGAGCTTACTACAGATTTATCACTAGTGAAGCAAACTTACAGTAATATAGCAGCAGAAATACTTAACGATAGATTACTCATATGTGTGCATATATGTATGTTCACAATAATACCAGTATCGAGCTTATTAGACAGATCTCGGAAGGTGCTAAATCATCGCAGAAGAGGAGATGAACCAATCCCAGAGGGAGACTCAACTATCCCAGGAATGGGAGGACAGACCAAACCCTCTCTGGTGAGGGTGCAAGATCTCTTAGAAAATTTCTGTGGAGTTCAACTGATTTAGGAAAGGAGAACTATGTGCAGCACAGGAAGTTCTCATACATTGAAGCTTCATTTGGGGTAAAAATTAAGTCATTATTGAAATTAAGTCAAGGGAAATAAGGAGATGTAGGACACCACCACTTCAGCAGCCAATAGATGCTCTTAATTTCGGCTTTCCACCTGAAATAACCAATAGATGTGGACAGTTTCTGTCCTCTGGGGCCAGGTCTTTGGGTTTTTTTCAGACTGTTTTCCTGTTCTTAAGATAGAACAGCCAATGGCAGTTACCAGTTCTTACTTTCTTAGGATATTTTTCTCTTTTTCCAGATTATTTTTCACCTTTCCAGATGATAAGTTGCTGTTACAGCTCCTTGGATTTGTGCTCATCGGTGGTGTCTCAGGATGTCTCTGGTTCCTGGGTACCCAGCTGTGTACTTCAGGGAGGCCAGCTGCACTTCTCAAGGATGCTTCAAGTTCCGGGGCTGGCTGGCATTTTCTCTGTCACTACTTCAGCAGACGTTTTCTTTTGTTAGTAATTTTCCCCTTCTAACCAGGTCACCTTTATGGCTGGTCACATCACCTGCCTGTCCAGTTAAGATGTACACTGAGCATCCTGTACTATTTTAACGTTTCTTGCCCAGCAGGAGATAGGGAGCTGTGATTGATTTGCCTGGGAGGGACACTATGGAAGCTGATTAATCTCGGAGCTGAAGCTTGACCTTTTACGTTTTACCCTTTTGTGCATGGGTGGAAGGGGAAGGATGTTTGAATTTTGGCTGTCTGAGGATGAAATCCAAGGAGCACTCGATTCTCATCGTTAAGGAGGGTAGTCATCTGTAAAGCTCAGTAGATAGATACCGTGGTGAAATGTTCTTACGGGTTCTTCTTAAAGGGTCTGTTACACTTCACTTGTTCTACAGGAGGAGCCCTCAGGGCTAGAGGAATGTCCTCTGTAAGTTCAGTTCAGTTTGGCCAAATTGTAGATTATTTCAAGGGAGAGAGCAAGGAAGGACATTTATTTCCCCTGCCCCTCCATCTCTCTTTGTGGTTTCTGTTGCTTAGCAGAATTTAGAGTGTTTAACCAAACTTGGAGATTTTATAATGCCAGACCACTCTGCTGCCAAAGGAGCAACAAATACTGCTTTAAAGAGTTGAAGGGGCCAGAACAGCTGTAGTGGGGTGGATTTGAATTGCAGTCATGTACATGAAAGTTAGGAAATGCCATGAAATGTGAAGCTGTCACAGTCCTTAATGATGAGATGCTGTATTTTTTTGTTTGTATTTCTGCCTCATTCCTTGTGTATCCTTTATCTCTGCCTCTTTGCATAAAGAAATTTGTCTGTGGCGTTGCTTGTCCTCCCAGTGGTTAAGGTTCTGGGGATTTTGTTTTGTTTTTAATAGAACAAGATGTAGTGCAGTCAGAACAACTGGAATTAAGGAAGCTGGAAGATCTGAGTAGGCTTTCAAGGGCATTGAGGTTAATTTACACTACTTGTGGTTTTCTTATGTACACACAATGTGTAGTCACTTCCTCTAAAAAAAAAAAAGTGCTTAATGACGAATTTTTTCCCTTTAATGGTCTTGAGAAGATAACATCCCTATCAAGCTTTGGAACTTTTTGTGGTATCTTCATGATATTGCACAAGCTCCAGTGCGTTTGAACTGCAACAAATATTTTCCCTCAGCTGTGTGCATACTCTTGTTGTGGAACAAGGCGAGCCCTTGAAAGTAGGGTGAGCTAATTATAAATGTAGTTTTCCTGTTGGATTTAAAAATTCCTTGCGGACACATAGTGAGAAATAGCTCCATGTATAGGTATGCCCGTAGGACCATATCTTTCCATTTATTTACAGGAGAGACAATACCTGCTGCAACAGTGAAACTTCCCTGCCCTGCCCTTGGGAATAAATTTCAGTTTTAGATGCTGGAGAATAACTTGGTTTCTGTGCTCCAGCTCCTCTTTCTGGGGTCACTGACAAAGTGTCAGTGGGGAGATGACAGCACTCTTTTCTGTCTGGTGGAGTTAACCTGTAGCCTCACGGTGGAAGCCATCATGCTGTCCTCTTGATTCATGTGTCTTTTTCCCATCTCCTGTAATTCTGTGCTCTAAACCTCTCAGGGCTTCAGGAATACCCAGAGAGGTTGTGGAGTCTCCTTCTCTGGAGACATTCAAAAGTTATGTGGACTCATTCATGTGTGTGACCTACTCTGGGTGATCCTGCTTGGGCAGTGGGGTTGGACAAAATGATCTTTTGAGGTCCCTTCCAACCCCTAACATTCTGTGATTCTGTGAATACAGATAATCTACAACCCCTGAGCTTGCACAGTGGATAAAGTATCGGAGATACGAGGGCCTCGTGCGGAGTAGGGAGAGTTTATCGGTTCTTCTGAGTATTTGCACTAAGGCTTCAAACGGTCTCAAAGCACGTGGTGATTGGACCCAGAGAGGCTGGGATATCAAAATTATCTGATTATCAAAGATTTACAAGGCAATATGTGAAAAGGAACAGAAGAGTCTGCTGGAGAGTAGAACAAAATATACATATCTTGTAAAACAATGTAAAGCCTGAACTCCTGTGTCTGTGTTGACAGTGGAATTAGCAAGTATTTTCTATTCTGGTTTGCAGTGAGCTTGAAATACACCTGCTGTTCTACTACTTACTTATGTCAACATTGAGCTTAAAAACTAGCCCTGAGACAAGTGTACTTTTTTTTTATTCTTATTTTTTTATCTTTAAAAGATTCCCAGTCTTCTCTTTTTCATGTCTCTTGTGTACTTCTCTGGAAAAAGTGATCAGTGATAGTGACCCTGTTGTAGTTCTAGAGTAAAATATGGTCATGAACGTACATGGATGCTGCTAGTGACAAAAAAGCAATGCTAATCAGCCACCAAAAAGCCTTGTGCATAGTTGATACTAATTTCTTATGAAAAAAAAAGAGTGTATATGTGTTTGTATAAGTAAATATACGTGCATGTACATATATATATTCATATATAGGTTATTACATGAAAGTTAGTAGGGCACACTGTAACCTCAGAAAAGGGTAAAAATCTGAACTTAGTTCCTCATCTCATAACCCCTTCTTAAAACTGTCAGATACTCAGGTCCATAATGGGGCCGTCTGACTTATAAAAATGCAAGGCTGCCAGAATTTCTTGGATAGAGGATTATATGGCACCATATAACTTTATGTGATTATATGGGCTTTTTTTTCTACCCATAGATAAGGGGGAAGAAAACAGAGTTTTCTTTTTGTTTTCTTTTGTTTTTTTTTCCTTGTTATGATCACTGGATTTAGTGATAGATACCCTTTTGTCCTGATTATCTATTTGGGGATCGAAGGGTACATCATGGTTTATCTAAAAAGTAGCTTGTACCAAGGGCTTATTTTATAAGTTACGTCTCAGAAAGAAAACTTTAAAGTTGATTTTGTCCTTGCTTTAACAATTCTAATTAAACACCTTATACATGATAGAGCTGTCTGCTTTTTACGAAGCCTTTCTACCCCTTGATTACTTGTTTTTTTTCTGGTTGACATATTTACTATAACACAGATTTTAAAAAAAATAACGACCTAATCTGTCATAATTAGGTTTTAATTTTCTTATAGAATACTGAAGGGTAATTAAATCTCTTTCTTCTCCCTTAATTAACAGAGGAGGAGCTCAGGAAGCTGAGAGAAGAAACAAATGCTGAAATGTTAAGGCTGGAGCTAGAAAAGGAACGACAGAGGAGATTAGAACTAGAACAAAAAGTCAATGAAGTACTTAAAGCAAGGTAAGAGAAATATCTAAAGCAAGGTAAGACAAGTATCTTCACTGAAAAGCTGAAAGCCACTGAAGATCTCTGTCTCTGAGGAGTTCTGGTGAAAGCATCCATGTCCAGCCTAGGCTCTCTTAAAATAAATTAGTAGCTCACAGAGAGAAGCTGTCTATCCTTTCCTGTAAAAGTACATCTTGTACACCCATGTACACCTCAATTACTTGACCACACACACTGCCCTAGCTACAGAGGTCTCCTTATGCTTGTCTCATTGGGATATTCTTCATTTCACCTTCTCTGATGCCCTCATCTCTGGGATCTCACCTGCTTGGAGCTATCAGTGTGCACTGTGTGATGCCGAGTGCCAGAGCCTTTGCCGTGCCGTTGCGTATGCTTTACCTCTTCAAAACCTCTGTCAACTCCAGACTGCCCACTCCTTGTTACTCCTGTTCTAGCAGCAGCAGGGACATCCCGGTACCACAGCATAACCCTAAATGTGTGGGAGCGACTGGAGTTTGAGCCTTCCTTGCCACTCTGATGACAAACGGAAACATGCTTCCTTGTACCACTAAGGCCTTTCGGCCTTGAGGGCCCCCACCTTGATGATGCATCGCCTGTGATGTCTCTCCTTAGTCTGCCTAGCCGCATGGACTTTAGATCTCAAGAGCATAGCAACTGCTAGGTGGCCTTGTTGGTCTTGACCTCTTGCATGCGTAGCTGCCTGTGTTGTCTTCCTCAGCAGTAGCTAAGGTTACTTGGCTGAGCAGTAGGATCTGTAGTTCGCTGTCAACTACTGTCATCAGGAGACAGTGTGGGCTGAGTTAGTAATCGCGTGTGATAAGCACTGCCAGTTACTTAGAGGTGACAAGCATGAACAAACAGGCCAAACTTTTTGCTTGGATTTGAGATTTCCCAGTGCTGTGCAAACTCTTCCCAGCCTGCTGCCTCCTTCTGTACTCCTCCTGAGTGCAGAAATGCTTTCCTGGTCAGGCCAGCAGTCTGTGTCCACTGCTATTATTTAGCAGTGGAGATAGGAGCCATTTATAGAAAACACGTGAGCCTAATTACGTTCTGTGGTCTGTTTACCTCCTACTCCTATAGAATTGTTTAGACTGGAAAATACCTTTAAGACTGAGTCCAACTGTAAGTCTTAACACTGCCAAGTCTGCCACTAAACCACGTCGCTAAGCACTGCATCTACATGTCCTTTAATACCTCCAGGGATGGTGACTCAGCCACTTCTCTGGGCAGCCTGTTGAATGCTTGACAACCCTTTGCTGAAGAAATTTTTCCTCATACCCAATCTAAACCTCCCCTGGCACAAGTCGCGGCCCCTTCCTCTTGTCCTGTTGCTTGTTGCTTGGGAGAAGAGACTGACCTCCACCTTGCTAGAACCTCCTTTCAGGTAGTCATAGAGAGCAATAAGGTCTTCCCTCAGCCTTCTTTTCTCCAGCCTAAACAACCCCAGTTCCCTCAGCTGCTCCTTCGTAAGCATCCACAACACTGTCTTTAGGGGTATCAAAAGGTACATTCCTGCCTTTTCACAATATCTGTTTGTAGATCTGTTATCCATGAGTTTATTTAAACCCCACTTGAAAGTTCTGGAGGTGTCTACTGCTGGAAAATATGGAGGCTGTACATTACAGAAGTCAAGTGCTGTGATCACAGAATCATAGAGTGTGTTGGGTTGGAAGGCTCTTTAAAGGTCGTCTAGTGCAACCCCTGCAGTGAGCAGGGACATCTTTAACGAGATCAGGTTGCTCAGAGCCCCGTCCAACCTGACCTTGAATGTTTCTGGAGTGGAGCATCTACCTCTCTGGGCAACCTGTTCCAGTGTTTCACCACTCTCATCATAAATCATTAATATTAGTGTTGACATCTGTGCCGTGTGGGGTTGTGGACAACAGCAAATATCTAGCAGACGTGGTATTGCTTCATTAAGGTAGGATGACTTCTCTGCCTCAGTGCAAATGTTTAGGTACCATAAGGATTCCACCAGCCCTGTTGGCTTAGGTGTTGCACTTATGTTCAGCCAATCATCCCCTTTACCCGAGTGTTCTTCTAACTAGTGTTGCTGCTATTCCAACCTTTTTCTGTCAGGCAGGTGTACGTAAGATGACAACAAAATAAGACTTTGAAAAATTTCCTGTTTCTAACCAGAAGAAAAACCAGATTGTCTACAGTCTTTCCTTAACTTGCGCTCCGTTTTGTGAAGTTCTTCTTCACCACTTTTTGTCTTTTTGCGCAGCATTGTAGAAGCTTTAAAATACTTCTAATAGGGCTACAGGTGAAATGTTGGCTGACACAAACAAATACATAATAGGCCAAATTTACACCAGATGGAAACTTAATTTCAGTAAGCAAAGTAACCACAGAAAGTTGTCTCTGCTTACATCAGCAAAACCAGATTTGCCCTGATTCTCAGTTAGCTAATTTTTCATACAGTATTTAAAGAGATATGCTTATGAACACATTTGGATGTACTCTTCTTTTTACTTACAGAAGTGAACTGCTAATGAAAACCAAAGCATGCTGTCGTGTGTGAAGGAAGAAATTATTTTAATAGCTGCAGTATTCAAAAGTATTTGTGATCGATACATGTAGGTACATAAATACATTCTGTAAAGTGTTCAACAAGGAGAAAGCAATGAGCTAACAATCTAGATTTTTTATTTTTATTGAAGGACATATATTTCTTTCATTGAGTTGTATACAGAGAAGAGGGAGGAGTGGAAGAAGAGAATTTTTAGTGGTTTTGTTTGCTGTGGCATTCACTGTTTGTATGCCTGATGTTCAGAAACAAGGTGGCCCCAGCTGAAGTTTTCCATAGACACACTTCGGGACATCTCAGCATTTGGTGCGACAGCTGAAGTTTATGACATTTTGCTAGTAGGACAATGCATAAATAGTTTGGAAATAGTCTGTGTGAGCTATGCTTGTTTAGTCTAAATTGTGTGCTGTTGCTGCTTTATTTTAGAAATTCTGAGCTAGCTACATCATACACACACAAAAAAAACAGAAACCAAAAGTTTTGCAACAGCATCTACCAACAAGCTGCGACTTACAGGAACCTTTTTACTGGTAGCATTGTGAGCTATTTTTAAGAGAAGCAATTAGACAGCACTTCTGGATAAGCCACCATTCCTTGCGTGCTCCTTATCTTGGTTAACTCTTTGTGGCCTCTTAAACAACATCGTCTTCCATACGGGCAATGTTTTGAGCATGGCTGACTTTGTCTTTTGTTGAGAGGATGCCTCACCTTGAGATGGTTCTGCAGGCTGGAAATGTTCCCTCTTGGACAGATCTCGGCCAAGCTGGGACTCTGCACAGGTAGCAAGAACCTGATACCCGGGTCAGAAGCTTCTTGCCTTGCTGCGCTGGGCTTGCTGACGTACATACATGATTGCTGACATACCCAGCTGGCTGAACTTCGTGCACATCTTTATTTTTAACTTAATAGATTTGGTGACAGGCTGCTTGTAAAGTAGCTCCTGTCAGGAGTTTTCTTTTAAATTTTTTTTCTGCCCATGAACATTTAGATCTTGTCTAACTTGGAGTTGATGGCATTTCTTTAGAAAACTTTTTTCAGAAACTGCATGTTAGGACACTAGCCGTGTAAAACGTGGATGAGAAAGGCAAAGGCTTCTGAAGTGTTTAGTGTATTTTAATGGAAAGAAAATGCAAAACCAGATGAAAGTGTTTTAACTCAGTTTTCTGACAGCTCCTCAGATTAAGAATCCACGGATGACTGAAAATACCTTCTTTATGCTTTTTTTTGCATTTCTGAGTTTGATTGCCTTCCACAACAGCTGTTAAAAGAAGGATGATGGGTTGCTTGTGAACTTGGAGTTAGCCTGTAGGAAAATTGCTTTTAATATGTCTGAGAACATCCTGACAGCGACTGGACCTGTTGTGTGCAGCAAGTCTAGTTTTCACACAGTTGATGAGGGGGAGTCTGATGATTTGCATACGCCTCACAACTGTATTCAAGGCCTAATATGCACAAACCAGAGATGTTTATTTAAGGTAAATGACCTTCTCCCTTAACTTACGTGTCATTCTTACAGCTACAAAAATAAAGCTATTCTGTGAGGCAACATTGAGTGTCCTGGTCATTTTTGGATGGTACATGTGTACTGGCCATGAACAGATTTAACATTCATGATTCTCTGACTTCTGTATGTTTTTAAAGACAAGAAAAAAACAGAAAAAAAGAAAAAGGAATATTTGTGTTTGTCTTCTCCACTGGCTGAGCTCGCTCTCCTCTGTTTTAATCAGCCTGTGCTTTTAAATGGATGCGGTCTCTAGTTGCATGAACAACTTAGCCTCAAGTTGGGGATCTGTTGACGTTACCAATCTCACTCTTTTTCTGGGTGGAAAGCATGGTTCTAAAAGAATTTAGGCAGCTTTCTTTCTTTGGTGCAGGCTGTGCTTAGGAAACCCCTGCGGGAACACAGCATTTTTTGTTGTTCTGAGCATGATTGATATTTTCCAGCCTTTTAACTGATCTCTGGCATGGAGACTGTAGGAGAGAGAATTCCTCCCCTCTGTCAGTGGTCTTGTTGTACTGGCTGCTTCAACATGACCTGGTTTGGGGATTGAGCTTCCCAGTGGGTGTGTGAGCCTAAACAATGAATTCTGAGCTTCCTGGCCCAAATCTGTCTGCAGTTGCTAATTATAACCTGATTCACAGGTGCAGTAATGAGCTGTCATTAACCCGATGATTCGTAAAGGTCAGGTTCTTCACAGGGAAGGAGTAACAGGCAGATGGTAAGTAAGACATAGCCAAAAAAAAAGGAAACAAAAAAGGCACCAAGGTGAGCCAAAGCCAAATCAACATGCGCTCCTGATGGAGCCCAGTGAGGCTGCTATCGAGAACTGCTCCTTGATGAGATTCTTTGGATTCTTTCCCAAGAAACATGGGGAGTAATGTCACTGTGCTGATTCTGAAAATATATCCCAGCATGTCAAAGGAAGGCCCAGCCTGACAGCTCTGACAGTTGGCAGTGGTGGGATGTCATCTCGGCTCTGTCACGGGAGCCATTCAGGTGTGACACCCTCCCAGTGCCTTTGCCTGACTGGAGCGGGTTGAGTAACTGGCTCCTGCCTGTGTGAACCTGCCTGTGAATGACTGCCTCCCTCCTGCCTAGGTGTGTTTTCAGCATCAATGAAACATGGTGGCAGTAACAGATGGTGGATGAAAATGCCCACCTCTATGGTATAACCATCTGATGTGCTGATAGAGGAAAACAAGAGACTACTGTACAAATTTGTGCAAATTTTATCACATTAATTGCTCTCTGTCTGTAGAGGGGCAGAGCTGGAGGTGGATGAGATCCAAGGATGTGAGAGAAAGAGCAAGGAGAGGAGGTGTTTTTAGGTGAGGAACCCGTGGTTTGTGTAGAAATTGGGGAGGAATAGCACAGAAACTCAAGTTAAAGTTCAACTAGAGAAAATAAACTGGTGCAATTTCAGGTGGCTTTTGAAAGAAGAGTTGCTGCAGATAAAGAAGTTGTGTGGAAAAGTCCTGAAGAGGTGAAAACAGGTGGCTTTGAAAGCAGAAACCATTGAATTCAGCTTCTCCACATCAATATAATTCATAAACCTAGTAATATAATTCATTCTCCACCCAGTTACAATTCATAAATCAGTAAATTATTTATGAATGTTCCTTTTAGAAATGAACAAGGATGTAGAAAGCTCATTAGATACGGGGAGTGCTTAGGAAGGAAGGGAGGTAATTAGCTCTGTAGTTTCCCTATCATGTTCATTGATGTATTCTGATGTTGAGACAGCACACAGTAATGGCCTTTTCCGTGTGCAGACAGTACAGTAAGATCTTTTTCTAATGTACTTTCCAGAGGAACATCAAGAGAGGGAACAATATATCTGTCTGCATTGCTGCAATCTGCCTGGTACAGTGCGATCCCACTTCTCGCTCTTTATTTGCTGACCAGCATTCCACTTGGTTCCCTTCCTGAGCAGCAAAAGCTGAAAAGGGAACATTTTGAAAGCACCTATACTCTACGATAAACGAGTGATAATGAAATTGCACAACCGATGGGTTTGTGTTTCTAGCAGTAATCTTTTCAATCATACAACTCCTTGTCAAGTAAAGCATGCTGCGACTGGTGTTCTCTTGTCAAAGTGGCTGGTTCATTAGGAAGAAAATCTCTCTGTAGTATATCTGCATGGGTGGCTGAAGACTTTTGGATTGAAGCCTGGAGTATTCTCGAGACAGAGTGACAGTTGGAGGCCATGGATAGTGCAGATGTGATTTGAAGCCTTGCACATGTGCAGAATGGCAGAAGCGTTTGTGTTTTCCAAAATCTGTTCACTTCTGATAGATGAGAATATTATTCTTGACTCATTTTGAAAGATGAGACCAGTGATACCTGCTGTTTGCTGTATATTTTAGAAAGTTTTTGTCTCAGTGTTTCAGACTGTTATTTCAAGTTTGCAAGTTTTTAAAAAGGTATTTTTAAAATTGGTTGATAGCTATGCATTTCAAGAGCTTACAATATAACCATTTAAATAATTCTTGACACCTGTACCTCTCATTGAAGATGAGTGGTGTTTGACTCTAGTAACGGCAGAATTCAAAATTCATGCATTAAACTGTGGTTTTGTTCTAGTACTGTGGTTATCGACTTGTGATATGGAATCCCTTTTCATTTATTGCCGAGGGAAAAGTCGAGACTCTGAAGAGTTTTCCTGGCAGGCATTGCAATGAATATACAGTGTAAAGGCATAAGTAATATAACAAATTTGATACTAAATTATGTAGTAGTTGTAAGGTGAGGTTGAGCTATGAGTGACAGCAAACGGCAAACCCACACTTCTACTTCTAGTAGATGGTATTTTCCTGGATCCTAAGCGCAAGAAATATTTGGAATATTGTGGAAGGGCATATCTTTTCATTTTATGTTGTCATGGTTGTATTATCTCAGCTATGGAAACCATAGAGGTTCCAGCACTGCCTTTACGCAAAAGGAATTAAATTCTTCATCTGTAGCCTTTCACGTTGCTTCTGTTTTCTTTTTAGGACAGAAGAGGTGCCTCCAGCTCAGCAGCCGGCAAAGCCACAGGCACAAGCCAATGGAACAGGTAATCTTGCTCAGATCTCTACTTGCAGTTTGGTTCACTCAGATTTTTTTCACCCCTTTCTTTTGATCCTTCAACCTTGCTGAAAAACTAACTGGGTGCTTAAGAAGGCTTCTGAAGAAGACAAATATGAAAGAACATTTGAGCAGCTTCTTATCTCTCCGTACATGATTCTGCGTTTACTTTTTGTAGTTGACTTTGCATACATGAGCAAGGAATTTATAGTGTGTTGTAAAGCCTTTGGGAGTGTAATGAAACGAGTTGCCTGGCTTCATCATTCTTGCATGCCTTGCTGATCCTTGCCTTAGCAGAAGAGAGATGTAGTACATAGAAAAAATGTTCTATTTTGATCTCAACGGAAGAAGCTCTTTTATGCCTTTAACCATATTACTTCTTCCTTTTTCTAAAAGGAAAGACATTCTGGAGAAGGAATACACTTAAGAGTTACTAATTTTTTGGACACTTCCACAGTCTTCTACATTTCTCAAGCTGCTGTGTATTATGAATTCAATACTATAGTGATTTCTGGAAGAGCTAAGGCAACAGGCAGATTTTCAGTCTTTCAGCATTCTTACACTTTCCTCCCCACACATCTCGATTGAGACTTAGGCTTTTAAATCTGTGGATTAAATTTGAAGTTGCTCCTCCTGTACTGTCATAATGACACTATTTTGTGTTACGTGAACTACAGCTTACCGTTTTATCCTGTTTTGTACACTCAGCGCCTCTTTCTTAGTAGTTTCTGAAGTACTGGCATGTGGGTAGCTACTTCATATTTTTTTATTTTAAAACATAAGTGTTTCAACTGTAAACTGTCACTAAATTCCTTACTTTTCTAGACATTGCTGTCATTCATTAATAAATACTTTGATTTTATTTTCTGAGCATGAGCCACTTTTTCTCACATGCTTAAAATTATCATTTTGGCTATTGTAATTGGTTGATTAATCTTTCACACCTCCATTTAAACATATCTTAATTTTGTGGAGGTCTATACTAAGTTAGGTCTTGGAATTGTTACAACCATTGTCCTCTTCGTGACATTGCTGTATTGACCTACTTTTCCAAAGAATAGTTTGTCTAGTCCTTCTAGAAAGTGATTTTCTGAGTTCCAGGCAAAGCAAAAGGTGATCGTTTTGTTCACAGTTGTGCTGCCTGGAGGCTTTTACCCTCATATTATTTCCATCTACCTGTTTGCTTGTTATATTTTTTCCACAAAACTGACATACAGAAAGCATGCATTACAGAAACACACAAAATCTTTAGAGCCTATAAATGGTTGGAAAGTGGTAGTAAAAATGTCTTTTGCAGATCTTACTTAAGTTTCCACCTCCCTTTCCTGCCAGATTCATGTGGCTGCAAGGTGGTTGTTCTGCTTTGCTCAGGAGTATTTTGCTTTAGACTTGCTTTTCTGGAGGTGACTCTTCAGCACAGAAGGAGCGCTGAGATTTAAGTCAGCCTTTTGTTTACAGGAACCTCTTAAACCAGAAGATGTTTGTACAGCATTTACTAAAAATTCTTGTTTATTAGTCTGTTAGAAATGTCTGTACTTCTGGTAATAATATGCTTCTGTGTACTATACTTAGAGCAAAGCAGGACTCACTTTTTGTCTTATTTTACCAGCTTAGTGCAGTCGGGGTTTCTGTGCAATGGCAGAAGTAAATCACGTAGTGAGTTTCCATGAAGAGGAAGGCTGCACGAGGTCTGCGTCCCAGTGAAGCACAGTGTGCAGGAACAGGGTCAGGCTTTGAGTGAAGATGTCTTCTAGTATTATCCTGATACTTACTGCTTCTTTTTTATAGATAAGCGCAGTCATACAGTCAGTTCGAGACTCCAGAAGTGGTTTTGTGACAAATTTGGGGAGTATGTTGAGGACTTCAGATTTCAGCCAGAAGAGAATACAGTGGAAACAGAAGAGCCACTTAGTGCGAGAAGGTAAAACTCTAAAGTGATTGTGAGAAGTTGTTGGCTTCTTTACAAATTGCGCTTTTTTTCCTCTTCTTTTTTTTTTAATAACCTTTTACATGGCTTGAGCAGGTGTTTGCGTAACAAGTAATACAACTCAAAGTATAGAACCATCTCAAAAGATTTGTGAATGCTTTGGCCAAAACATGAAATTTGAAGTTTATCTGCTGTCTGAGGTAGAGTAAGAGTTATATTATTTACCAGGTTCCATCATATGCCTCTTGAAAACCGTGGACAAAGTCTTAGTTAGACTGGAGAGCTTTTAAATTTCAATTACTGGTCTGATGCAAGGTAGGCTGTGTTATTTACATGAATGAAGCTTTATGCACAAACATCTAATTTATAACTGTGAGCAGTATTGCAGGCACCAAGTGTCCGCAACTATGCACTGTTTGCCTATTTAACAGGTTGCTTTTATCCATTATTTTTCAGGTTGACTGAAAATATGAGAAGATTAAGTAAGTACTCAGCAGTATTTTATTTTCTGCAAGTAAAAATAGTTCTTAGTAAGCCTGTCGGAAAGATTGCTGCATTTTAAAGTACAGCCATTTGAAATTCTTTTGCCAGATCATAAGCAGAAATTATTCTGAAATCCTGAATTAGTGTTTGGAGTGCAAAGTAACTTCGAGGAGTAGTGGCAGAAGCTTGCCTTTAATCTTGAATTACATAGGGTATCTCTGAACTAAAAATATAATCTTGAATTAAAATGTGTAGACACGTAATGAATGAGAACAGGGTATTTGTCCAAATGCAGTAGTAGTGTTTATATGCTTACACCTGAGCTCCTTGTAGTTTGCTTGCTAGTCTATTAGTTTATGCTTTCAAAGAAGGAGGATTTGGGTGATGCATACCCTGAGTGCATTTTGCATTTATTTCCCGTGGCTAGCTGATAAATTAGTTTGAAAGGTGGAGGATGCAAGGTGGTGGGTTAAACAAAGTAGTTAAGCCCTCTGAAAGTTCTGTGCAGCAAAGAGTTGCTAGCCTGGGGAAGAAAAAAAAAAAGAAAAGAATAGGCTGATTTGTGCTCCAAATTGTTAAGTTATTGGAGGGGGGAAAGGTGAAGTTGAATTAAGAGTTTGTAATCTCTGTATAAGGTCAGTTTTCTTTTCCTTGTTCTAATACTAGTATTCTTCCTGATTTCATTTGGGTGAATACTTGTCACCTGTTCTCCGTGGTGCATGTGCATTGCCTTCAGAATAGCTTTTCAAAAAGCAGTATTATGCTTAAGCTTTGAGTGGTTCTTAATTTCCACACAGTGAGCCACAAAAGCTAGATTCCTGTTGTCCAGGAGTGCCTGACGACTGCCTGGAGCTCTCAAGACATTCGATTGCTCTCAAGACTCGTGTTGTCACCAGAGCTTTCCAGGTGGTGACCTCCCCTGCAGATTCAGTGTGGGATGGTGGAAGAGTGCTTGAGTCCAGGACCTCCTCCGGCACCTCAGGCATACCTTTCCACTTCATCCCCTGCTTTGGTGGTGCTACTGATGCTCAAGGAATCCGGGTCCTAGTTGTTTAGTTACTTCCCATAGGGAATGCATCAAGGATAGCTGAATTTCATGCCAAACAAACTAGGGCAGCAAGTTGCAGGGTCTCCTGAGGAAAGCCTTTGAAAGCCGTGAGCTGTACTGCAGGTGAGGGTGGGTGCTTCTGGAGTGCCTTGTGCCAGAGGAGCCATCGCTCTTCTCGGCAGGGAGAGCAAAACTCATGTGTTCCAACCAAGAAAGCAAAGATGGTTTTGTAGCAGCTCTCTCTGTTTTCTCTTGTGTCCAAGTGTAAAATAGCTAAGAGGAATAGCAAGGCTAAAGGACAAGTGTTTTTTTGGGAGCTGAGGAAGAGCTCCTGTTGCTGGCTGGCTGCAGGCATCTGCATGTGGTTGTGACGCCTCTCCTGGCACAGGTTTGTTTGTCTCCCGCACGGTGACTGTGAGAGCAAAGCAGAGGTGGGAGACAGGCTTCTGCAGGCAGCAAAGTCCTGTGGCTTTTGGCTCAGGTAGAGTAAGCAGCAAAATGCTACTGATGGGTAGGCTCCTGTAGAAATGTAGCCAAGAGAGATCTAGCCCAGTTTTAAGCTAGCTTAGTCAGGTAGAAGCAAGTTGGGTTTTGGTGGCTTGGAATCCAGTCAGGCTAATTTACCTTGTTTTACAGTGGGGTGATTTAACCTACCCAGAGGTCTTGGGGGTGGTATGAACAGGGCTCAGAACAGACTGCTCTCAGCATCCAGGGCACTCTTGTAGAGGATGTCGATTATTTTTGTCTGTACTTAAGAATTTAGACATAACCTTTGTCTCAATAACACTTCATTATTTTGGAAATGTATTACATGACTAATTCTTCAATTACATTGATGGGTTTAATTTTTCTTAATTTGGATAAGCCTTTTTATTGTTAGATGTCTTGAATATTCCTATTAGTTTTCTAATTTGGTTGTTTGTCCTTTACATGTGATATAACCACTGTCAGCTAATTCTAACACTTGTGTTTTTTCTCCACTTCTGTTTAGAGAGAGGTGCCAAACCTGTTACTAATTTTGTGAAGAATCTTTCTGCCTTATCAGACTGGTATTCTATCTACACTTCTGCTATTGCCTTTATTGTAAGTTATCCTATTCCTCCAGAAGGAGTAAGAACTTTTAAAATGTATTATTTACTGGAATTTGTTGAAACTTCCATATATGAGTAGAGGTTATGCTGCAGTTTAAGTCAAAGCGAGTAGTGTAATTTAATTTAACACAAAATTTTGTAACTTCAGTTATATTTCAAAGCCGCTTAAATTGTGTGTTTTGTGTTTATTGTAGCATAGATTTGTAACAGGGAGATCACTTTCATTTACCGTCCCAGGCAAAACAGACTTGATTTTTGGGAAATTAATTACATTTATTGAGAGAACAAATCAGAGAGGAGAGTGAGAAATAAGAAAAGCAAACAGATCTTAAAAGCAGAACACCTTCCGCCCATCCCTCCCTTCTTCCTGGGCTTAATATCAATCCCGGTTTCTCCACCTCCTCCCCCCAAGTGGCGCAGGGGGACAGGGAAGGGGGTTTACGGTCAGTTCATCCGACGTTGGTTCCACCGCTTCTTCTTCACTCCGGAGGAGGACTCTTCACTCTTCCCAGGGCCATTGTGGGATCCCTCTCGCGGGAGACAAGCTTCATGCTCTCCTCTCTGACGTGAGTTGTCCCACGAAGGGCAATTCATCACAAACTGCCCAACGGGAGACACCTCATGAGGGGCAACCCACCCCTCGTGAGTCTGGGGTGCAGTCCTTCAGGGGAAACTGCTCCAGCGTGAATCCCCGCAGCGCCACGAAAGTCCCACCAGCCAACCTGCTCCAGCGTGAGCATTCACTCTTCCACGGGCTCCCGGCTCTGGCAGCGAGTCGCTCCGATGCAGGCTTCCCACAGGCTACAGCCCCCTTCAGGTGTAGGGTCCTCTGCCCCACGGTAGACATCTACACCCCACCCATGGGCCGCAG